CACTTTGTGTCACCAGGTCAGGTGACATGCTAGTCGGAATGTTCACAGCTGACAACAGACATCACAGAATCGTACGATATCACGAGCTGGAGGAGAATCAGGTGATTGAAAAAGACTTTAACTACGAAAACTTCCTCTTCAAAGAAGGAGAGAGTCCCATTTACATTACGGAAAACATCAATGGGGATATTTGTGCGGCCGATCTCAATGCAAAAATGTTGCTGGTGGTTGACGACAAAGGGAAAGAAAAGTTCAGATACAATGGCACACAGGCCAGGCTCACCAAACCCTTTGTTCCAGGTCAGGTGGTGACAGATTCCGCTGGACGCATCCTAGTGACGGACCAGGTGAATGACTGTCTTCATGTCCTGGATCAGAACGGCCAGTTTCTGAGATGTATTGATGATTGTCAGCTAGAGCAGCCAACAGGGCTGAGTATTGACAGAGAAGGAAGGCTGTGGGTGGGGTCATATAAAACAGGAGAGGTCAAGGTCATTGAATACATAAAACCCAGCCAAGGTCATTCACCTCCCAGGAGATGTTTGTCTGCTTTACATCCATCAATAGTCAAGACACCTGTGTGATTTCTAATATAGGTGTAAATGATCTAACCTCTAAAATGTTGAAGTTTCTGTTTTTATGTATAGGCTTTGTTACTGTCTGTGAAATGAATCTATATTGATGCTGCAATTCATGGCTTTATACTACAATCATAATATTGTGTTATTTTAAAAAATAATAATTTAGGAAATATATGTGTAAATCAATTGTAAAATTATCTTGTTTTTCTTTCAACAGCAACGAGCTCACAAAGCAATATCCCAACTCTTAAATGAGTATGTCAATGGTATACTGAAAGGAAAAAGAAACGCAGGGTAGAATAATATTCGAAAACTTTTTGACCGCATGACCGAAAATTACGAAAATTGGTCAGATGAGAAATTTAGTTACTATGCACCAGAATCAGTGTTAAGAATTGCTCAACCGTAAAATGTATGACGTCATGTAGGGAAAACGATAAAAAGCCCAAAACACGTGCAATTTGATAACGACGAGTTTGTCAACAAATCTTGTTGCACCATTTGATGCACCTGAGGTATACACATTGTTTTTCAATATTTAGAGACGATATTAATTCCTTGCAATCTTGGTACAGTTTACGGAAGTTCAGTGGGGTCTGATTTTTGAATTGCCCAATTATTGAAAAAGGCAACAATGGGTAACTAAGCAAGCAGTTTCTTGTAAATTTTCCCCCATAAAACTTGTTACCCGTTGTCAGAGAGGGCCTGGAATGGTTTTCAATCAACCGTGACGTTGACGTTAACGTGAAACAGGGCCATGTTACGAGCGGGTTATTCGTCCAGCCACCTCTTAAATCGCAATCCTACTACCACCAAAACCGCCTTTTATACAGTAGACTATTCTAGTCATTACATTCACACAAAAAATAAAAGAAAACAATTCTGCAATTTGGTTTTTTGAGCAAGTCAACTTACTGTTGTGTTCCTCTCATTCGCGCATGCGCGCATTGCATGACTAATTTTTTGGCGTGGTTACCGATGCCCAATATAGCCAGGGTTTAAAAGATAATCACTCTGATGAATTCCATGCAAAGGAGAAATAACGCTCATGACAGATGTGCAGGAGAGACATTGAAGATAATGAGTGTTTTCGATTTTCACTTTTGGGGGGTATCGTCATATGAGCTTCAATAACTCAAGAATTATTAGACAAAATCAAATGAAATTTTTGTTATATCTTTCTGAAAGATAATTTTAAAAGTTAGATAGGAATACTGAAAAAAATTGAAAGAAAAATAAATTTAATTCACCTCAAAAGTTTACCCTGCGTTTCTTTTTCCTTTCAGTATATAAAGAACTACATAAAACCTTTAACTGGATTATCTCCCTTTATGCAAGGATAGAGAAAAGGATTTAAAATGTATACCATACAAACTGAATTTTTCGCAAGATACAATTAAGTTATTTGTTCTTAAAAATCAGTACATGTATGTATTAATTTTTAATGAAAAGTAATTTAAGCAATTTTTGAAGCATGAAAGATAATAACCGTCCAATGCAAAATAAATTTTGAGCTATATTTAAATTTAGCAATCTCTTTTTAATCTCGTTAAAAATGCCAAAACTGAATCTTCACTAAAATTTCTGCTTAGTATGTGTGAGATTAAGAGAAGAGGGGAGGGCTCTTACACAGAACCCTGAGCTGGCCACTACTTGTGGACACTCCGTGGGTGTTACTGGCCATACACTGATACATCCCCTCCTGGTCTCCCTTCAGATTATGGATGACCAGGACGTTCCCCGTGATGGTCATTTCCATGGTACTGGACAACAGCTGACCGTTCCTGTACCAGGTGTACGTGGGCCGTGGAATCCCGTAAGCCTGACACCTCCAGGTCAGCTCTGCCCCCTTGTCAGCGTGCTGGTCACTCAGTCCTACGGAAAACAGGGGCTTTGCTACAACGAAAATTTTAGAAATTTATATCCCATAAAGCCTACAAAAGGGGAAAAATTATATTTAACCAATAGGAATGATTAGAATCTTTGACCAAATATAAAATCTTTTTCAAATGAATATCTTGAATGACTCTTGCTATTAGAGTTGTGGAGAGACAGACAAAATGGACTTTAATATTATATCCTCACTCATCATATCCAAAATAGTTTGGTACTAACAGGTTTAACCAACTGCTCAAGCATTTGTTTTAAAATTGAAAAGTCAATTTTCTACAATACAGTAAAACTTGTCTAATCTTAATGTTATGCATCCCAAAAGCTATTATGCTCTTTGTCAAGACTCAAAAGCATAAATATTTTTTTTCAATCATCAATACCCACACTCTATGTTTAGGTGGAAATCCTTTTGGTCCCTGGTGCCTGACCGCCTGCTGCTACAGATACAGGAGTAGACCCCCGTGTCCTGAAGAGTGACCTCCGCAATGGTCAGTACTCGGTTACCGTCCAGGTACTTGAATCTGGTCCGCTGGTCTCTCACAGAGGGGACGGTCCACTGATACACTAAAGGGCCACTTACAAATAAATTTACAATATTTTTAATTAACTGTCATAAGACTTTAAATGTAATTTGAATTATTGCAACAGGCACTGCATACTTCATACTCTTGTGTTTTTGATGTCATTACATGTATTGAATTTTTATTTTTGAATTTTCAGATGTCCTTTTTCCAATACCGGTCATTGGCCCATGATTTGGGCATTGATTACATGACCTTTATAACAACATTTTTTTTGTATTTGATGAAACTAAACAAGTTTATAACTCTTCTAACCACCATGCCTCCATCGGTTCAAGAAGCAATCTGTTTTAAAAGTCAACTGCCCTCAAACAATTATTGAACATTTCAATGTAAATATTCAGGATTTCAGTCACAAAATATTATTAATCAAAGGTATGAAATTAAACATAAACCTTCCATATGCAAAACATTCCAACTTGACATCACTTCCTACTACTGGTTGCCTTGGAAACACTTGTACAAAACTGTCTGGGATCTGAACACTCAATATTCCCGAAGCTGCAAATTAAAGACTGTGTATTATCTAGCTAAACTTTTCAAATTATTTCAACCTTGCCTTGAAAAAGGTATGATCTCAACATGAGAGTCTCTTTTTAAAACACCTAGGGTCGGTTTAACAAAATAATTTACAAGTTACGACTAGAGACCAAAATTTAATTCTGCTTATAACTTTCTTATTTATATTATATACCTGTATAGAAAATGGTTTTAATCTTTCTATAAGATATGTAAAAAGATACTTTAATGCTAGCAATTTTAAATAAAATTTTTGAAAAATGTTACAGTAAACTAAAGTTTTTGGTCTTAGGCGTAAGTTTTTCAGTCTGTAAAATGGGCCCCTGAGGTATTTCAGTGTTGTTGACTTACGAGAGCCTAGGACTTCTAACGGAATCCCCGTACTGATACGACTGGGAGACTGGAAGGACCCCATGTAGTTATCTCTGTTGGTAGGATTTGTTAGGGTAGCCATGCAGTAGTACACCCCATTATCTCCCCGTGTCACCTCCGAAAAATACAGTTGCCCATCTCCCGAGATAAACACGTAGGGAGTTAACTGAGAGTTTACTGGCTTTGTCTGGTCCTTTATCCAGTTGTAACTTATAGCTGTAGATAAGAAAAAATATGTAATTTTTCAAGCAATATTTTTCAAAATGGATAACATACAAGATATTGTGGATGAATAGCCTAATCTTGTAACTTTTTTCAGCTCTTGAGTTTCACCCTTTATTAAGCAGTGAAACTTACGTAGACTGGAAGTGGAGGATATCTTTGGACACTGTATGGATGTTCCCTGGTATTCAGAAGGACGAACAGGGGCCGTATCAACATTGGAAAATTCTCCTAAATCTAAAACCAGAGGCCCATGGGCCACATCGCTCACCTGAGCACTGTGGCTAGGAAAAAGCAGAATTGGTTTATACTTGAAAAGCTTAAATCCAAAAGTAGTCCCATGACCAATCATGGCTTTACTATTCTAGAGAAGAAGATTTTTAAAGAATTTTCCTATACATTTCTATGTAAAACTTTGGTCAGCCATTTTGGCCCCGCCTTACCCCCGGGGGTTATAATTTGAACAAACTTGAATCTACACTACTTGAGGATGCTTCCATATAAATATGATCAATTATGGCTTTGTTATTCTTGAGCAGAAGATTTTTAAAGAATTTTCCTATATATTCTATGTAAAACTTTGGTCGGCCATTTTGGCCCCGCCCTACCCCTGGGGGTCATGATTTGAACAAATTTGAATCTACACTACCTGAGGATGCTTCCATATAAATATGATCAATTATGGCTTTGCTATTCTTGAGAAGAAGATTTTTAAAGAAATTTCCTATATATTTCTATGTAGAACTTTGGTCTGCCATTTTGGCCCTGCCCTGCCCCTGGGGGTCATGATTTGAACAAACTTGAATCTACACTACCTGAGGATGCTTCCATATAAATATGATCAATTATGGTTTTGCTATTCTTGAGAAGAAGATTGTTAAAGAATTTTCCTATATATTTCTATGTAAAACTTTGGTCGGCCATTTTGGCCCCGCCCTACCCCCGGGGGTCATGATTTGAACAAACTTGAATCTACACTACCTGAGGATGTTTCCTCATAAGTTTCATCTTTCCTGGCACAGTGGTTCTTGAGAAGAAGATTTTTAAAACATGCTACCAAATTTTCATTAATTCCCAATTATCTCCCCTTGAATGAGGGCATGGCCCTTCATTTGAACAAACTTGAATCCCCTTCACCCAAGGATACTTTGTGGCAAGTTTGGTTGAAATTGGCCCAGCGGTTCTTGAGAAGAAGTCGAAAATGTGAAAAGTTTACAGATAGACGGACAGACGGACGCCGGACAAAATGTGATCAGATAAGCTCACTTGGGCCTTCGGCTCAGGTGAGCTAAAAAGAGATGTTTGTAAAACACTTATAACTCTGTCAAAAATGGTCTGATCGTATCCAAATCAAAACTTGACCTAGATATTCTTATGATAAATCTGTATACCAAATTTCATTGCAATATGTGCAATCTCTACGAATAAAATGAACCAAAACTGAAAATTATTGGATTTTTTCAAAGTATAAGGGGCATAACTCTGTCCAAAATTGTTTTATTGTACCCAAGACAGAACTCGATTAAGATATTCTTATGATAAATCTGTATACCAAATTTCATTTCAATATGTGCAACCTCTACGGAGAAAGTGAACGGAAACTGGTGGTGGACCGAGAGAAAGACCGACCGACTGACAGACAGCAGCAAAGCAATATGCCCTCCCTTCTTTGAAGGGGAGCATAATTAATCAGTGTTCTGCATGATCAGTAACAATCTGGCAAGTAAACAAAGCATTTAAGGAAGAAGATGCAGTTAAACAATTCTAATTTTAATAAAAATGATTATGCATTATTCAAACTTACAGTTTTAAGGATGCAAATGTTATAAATATGGAAAGAATGGTCATCTGCCAAATCAAACAATGCTTAAAATATAACCTTCCTCAAGCAAAATTATCACAAGAAATAAAGATATCAGTGACATAAAGGTTACAAACCTGCAAAAGCCAGCACTACAGGTGGGGTAAGAATAACTCCAAACTTATTCTGAGCCATACATTGATACTTTCCTCCGTCCACTGTCACCTGTGGGTTGTCGATGCTGACCCGGCCATTGGTCACTGTGTACTGTGGGCCCACCAAGGACTGGGCCTGCCCACTGTCCTGCATAACAGTCCACCGATACGTGGGCTGTGGGAGCCCAGTAGCAGCACATTCTAGGTAGACTTCTGAGGTGGATCCTAAAATTTCAGTGTCTGAGGGGAGTAAATAGAACGTTGGACCCTTGGGTGCCAACTCCTCATCTGGAAAGTCTGTTCCATATGCTGTTACATAAAAAAAGGTATAAATTTTTGTAAAAAGCCTGTACTTTTAAAACATTTTTTGTATCCCTATAAAGGGTGAAGAAGAGGTTAGGGTTAAAGAATGAAGGAAAAATGATCATCAATGCTAAACATATTTAGGTCACACTAACTGAAGTCTCTTGAATCTTGTAGTATTCTGTAGACTTCATTCTTTGGAATTTCACAAATGTAGCTCATCAAGTTACTGCCATCTCCCTTACTCCAGCTGTACTGTCCGTCTGTAAATAATTTCATACATTAAAATTCAACGCAAGTAAAACATAGTATTAATTTTTTAACTCTGATGATTTGTGAAGTAATTCTGCACAATTTTACATCTTAACACAGGTACATAATGCATATTTTATGTCTACTGTGAAAATCACTTATTTTTGTGAAGCTAAATTTTCATGGTTTACAGAACAAGTACCCATTCAACAGGATTGAATTTTGTGTTTGGCAGAAAAACTTGACACTTTATTTATAATTTTTAAAACTTTGTCACTACATAGATTTCTGGGTCACAACTTACCACAAATACAACGAAAATTTAAATTCCTCCCCCTTTGGAAATTTTTTGTGAATACACAGAAAATAAATGTTGAACTATTGAGTTTAGGCACCCGACATGCATAGAATAAAAAAATTCACATATCAGAAAACAACTTGTATACCAGAATATTTGTAGATGATATGCAATCCATGGTTATTGTGATCCGAGTATGTAGACCATTGTATATTTCCACTCAACTGGATGTCTAAATTGTCCAAGTTCAGGAAATTATCTTGCTCAAGGGAAGCAACTCCACTGGTGTACCAACTGTTTCTGAAAGAGCAATTTTTAAAATGGACACATCTTATTATCACAATCCCTGTAGCATTAATAACCATTTACTATGAAGTCAAATTCTTGAATTCAATCAATATTTAATTCACGTTAGGATGACAGTTTATACACTGACCTCCATTATGTTCAGTAAATAATTCATAAGAACATATTTGACGAGGGTGTACCATTCCCATTTACACCAGTGCAGTACTATACTTGCCTCTCCATGTCAAAGTTAAGTAACCAGCCATGAACAAACATGTGTTCAGCAATACTTTCCACACCCAAAACTTCTGCTCCATTTTCCTACATCAGAAAAATCAATGTGAAAATTATGAATAAATCTACAAATTTTAATTAAGATTTATGTGTCTGCATTCATTATCAGTGAACATATTTAATTGTTGCAAAATAGGATGGCAATGGCATACGACTTTGCTATAGCTAGCACCATATTCTATAGAAATTAGAATTGATTCTTTATGTAAAATTACTGAATTTCTCATTTTCTCATGAAACTATAACTACCCCGGGGTATATTTTCTTGAATTTCTCCAAAGTACATTGTACTTGCATCAAGAAGTTTCTTTTGGAAGTCAATTACATTATATCAATATATAGATGGAATTTCACCTATGGCTGATAACTTCTTACTCTGAAATATGCAAACACACCATTCAAGTGAGCTTGATAAAATACACGTAGCCTATTCAAGCTATTATGAATAGCTTTATAAAGCTTTATAGCTAAATCAAGCTATGTATATAGCTTAATCAAGAGATTGTGCTGGACCTGCATATAGTACAAAATTTGATCATAAACTATCAAATACATGTATGCTGATATGACGCAGACATTTCAATTAAAAATACCTTGCAGAATTCTTGAGCTCCTAGATATGAGCGCTTTGGATGAAACACAAACTTGTAGCAATGATCAGCATACTCAATCCACTCAGATGGACAATCTAGGAAACAATCAGTTAAGATTTATCATTTATTTCAAATTTACAGTGAAAAAAATCATTGTGCATTCACTACTCTTAATTTGATTACGCAGTAAATTTCTATCCAATATCATGAATATGGAACACAGGGACTTGAAACAATCTTAGAAAAAAATCGGGTATATAGCTCCCCTATTATACTATATACCTGTTTTTTTTCTAAGATTGTTTCAAGTCCCTGTGATATGGAATGTATCATAATCCAAACAGATTATTGTCAGTTGGGAATTTTCCTTCGTGCTCACTCCATCCGTTATAAGATTTGTAATAACTTGATATAATAGGGTAAAAAGGTAATTAGGTAAAAAGTAATTAAAAAGGAACAAACAAACCAAAAATGGGCAAAGGATTCACACTGCAAATGTTTAAAACTATGCAAAACAGGAATCCCGTTATCTTCAGTGGCATTTTAAATGTAAACAAAGAATTGAAGTTTTGGCGCGGTCTACAGCGCCACCTATTGGGAATTTGAAATCCTAACCCGATCAGAATATTGATCGAATCTCTTATTGCAGCAGAACAAAATCATATTTTCACATTTTTAAAATAATATTTATTTGTATTAGAAACAAATAAACAAAAAAGAAATAAAAATAGGAATAAATTGAACAAATTACATGTAATGAAGTCAACCAGAGGATGGCAACAGGACATGTATAATGTTATTTATGTCTCCTAAATAACACCCATCCCCTGATGTCATCTCGATTTAAATTGACCAGCCTGATATGTGATATATCTTAAATTAAAACATATTTTAATGATTTTATCAAAAGAAATAGAAACATTTTTTTTTATCGATAAATATAATATCCGAACAATAAAAAATCCGAGTTTCAATTTCTTGCACACTAACCACTACGTTATATGTACACAACATCCGAGGAATCATGTAAAATTTTTACAAAAAGCATTAGCATAAGTTTTAGGAATGTGATTTTTTTAAAATTATATAAAATTATGATACTTTCAAGTATATATGGTATAGTAATGTATGCATAGATATTATATGATGTATATAGATACCTAAAAAGAATGCCTATGTACATATAAAATATTTCGGGTATTCCCCTACTTGTATGTCTTTCCTATCAATCAAGCAACCCTTTCCCTCTTGTGTGTATGTATATTGTATTTCATGTGTATGATTATAACATTTTAACAATGTACTTTCTTTTTGCCACACGAGGGCCCTTAATATTGTGACCTTTGCTAAGTGGACTTCAGTATTTCTCCGAAAGATACGAATGTTGCATTGTGTCATAAAAGTGTATTTTTCAGGTATAGTGCATGGGCCTTTGCTCCATGCTTTTGTTAACGGGAAAGGTATGTTTTCACGCAAACTTTGAAGGTGAACTTTAAAGAATGAAAGGATCAAAACCCACTATATATTTGGATTTCATTCGCTTTGATCGCCGATCTTCTTTACAATTCATTTGAATTAAAGATTAACATCTCTCTCTCTCTCTCTCTCTCTCTCTCTCTCTCTCTCTCTCTCTCGTAAATTATATCTAATAATTTTTATGTCTCTAGAAATTTTACAGGAAAGTTTTGTTATAAAAAAATTTACCTTTTCAACAATAAAAACGAAAAATCTTTAGTCTAAACTATAAATCATACAATGTATACTTTTTGCGCGACTTGTTAGCCTATCTTCGTATATGAACTCTGAGATAGTCTTACAGTCAGTTCTCTATAGACTGGTAATATGGAGAAAGTCTATCCAACAAATGCATGACATCGTTTAATTTCTCTTTATTTTTGATAAAACTAATTATTTATTCTTCCTTTCTTCTCAGCTGAATACCTGAACCTGCACTTACAATGAAAATGCAATCATCATTAATGATCAAATTTATTGAGAAATAAAATAATCAGATTTAGGTTTCCTTTCCCTATCCTAGGTTTGTCACAATAAAGAAAACGAGAAAGGATATAAGATTAGCTAGTATAGACAGGAACATAAATGCTCTGTTTAAAGTTCGGTCGTTGGTGTCCCAGCATTTACGTTTCACTTGTTGCTTTTCCTTTTTGTCTGGCTGTACGATACATGTAGGTTCCACTTTGTTTTGGGAAATATCAGCATTCTTGAAATGCTGGTGTAGAACCACAGCCTGAAAGATTACCGTCAATCCACTGAGAAAAAGTTTGTTATTCATATAAACGATGAAATAAGGAGTTGTCTCTGTCGTCGGAAAGTAGTCGTTGACGATAGTTAGAAACACAGAGAACGTTAAGAAGATGGCAATGGAGGCTCCCATTTTTTCTCCCGATTCTACAGGCAGCACGAAACAGAAGATATTGATAAATGATAGCAATATGATGGGGAGCATGATAGAAATAAGGACTTGGGTGGATTTCCGTTGAATATGTAACACGAAGTGAAGCTGTTGCAGCATTCCAAACATGGGGTCCCAAACATTCGATTGATAAACGTGCGATCCAAGCATCTGCCATTCCTCGTTGTGGTGGGAAATGAAGTGGTAGCGAGAACTTGTCTTATTTAAGGTAATGTTTTCATGAGTATGAATCAAATTAGCCATAGAAATGGAACACATCTGCTCGTCAAATGGATATTTTGTGATATCCAGTTCACAAAGAGTTAAACTTTCTCGAGATGTAGTATAAGTAACAATTCCAGTATTAAGAACTAAAACATCTGAATCTTCACACAAACATTTGTCAACACCCAGTTCATTGATTATGCACACGGACTCTGGGGTCCAAACATAGTTTGATTTGGTTCGCAGAGATGAAATGCCATTGTAGTGAGAAGAATTCCACACAAGACGATGATCAAACCAGGTCATCGAGATCCACAACGAGGCTGCAAAAGTTTGTTTCTTTTCATTGACCTCCCTTATGGTCATAAGACTCATAACAACAGATACATCTAGCAGGCTATCAGTGTTCTCGTACGGCGATACTCTGGCCTCGTGTCCATCGATAACATTTTTGAACAACTGGGACCGGTTGGTTGCCTCACAGAAGAAGGTAAAACTAAGAGCGATATAAAGGGTAAAGCCAAACATATTTGCTGCAACTAAAACTTGTGCGTTGCAGAGTTAAGCAAAGCAATTCATTTGATAGCTTAGGTCAATATGACCAAAATAATAATAATGACCAGTGTGTAATATATCGCTGGAGTGAGTTATGAGTGTTTCTTATTTATAATTCATGCTGGTTTATTGTTTTACATAACTTTACAATAAAACTCGAGACTAACTTCCATTGATCAATGGCGAAGAGAGTGCTTTCAATTAAATGAATTATCAGATGTGACAAGTTAGATTCATTACACGTGCTTTTTGATAACTACCTTTCATCAATTATTGTAATTAATTTCCCATATAATCCAGAAACCAACACGCAAAGATGATATACATGTATATTATAAACTTACATATATCGATATTAAAGGCTACAGTACATAATACAAGTGTATAACAACATGAATGTGACAACTGAAAATATTCTCTATTATTGATGATATTTTAAATTAGTAATAGAGTGCCAGCTATGGTTTGATATAATCATGAACCTAAGTGGCGAGAATCAAAGGTAAATTAATTATTTATTTTGTCCAGCTAAGTACTACAGCAATTACAGTCATTTCACTATAATTCATTACCAATGAGTGCAAGACCATTTGGAAAATGAGAATTTGAGAGAAACTTTTGCAATTATTTTCATCACATTTTGCAATTTCTAAAGCATAAAATCTCCTCGTTTCACCATAGCATATTGTGACTTGGGCATTGTGAGCAGAATGGCGCTGTACACATTTTCGCAAAACACAAATCCCTGGACACATGAGCGATAAGACCAGATAACACAGCATCTGTCGACCAATAATATCTGCAACGAACCCTCTTTATCGATCAAGTAAACGGAGTTACATTCAAAAAGTAAGATCTTTATAACGTTGGAATTCCAAAGAATTTGCAAAATATTGACTTTATACGATATTGCTGAAAGCCACGTAACACCAACTTATTTGTAAGTTGCATGATTTTGTTTAAAAATGTAGCTGTAACTAAGTGCAGTGAAATGTGAAATATTATCAAATAAGAAACATTTATGTTGAACTCATCCCGTTTTCCCCGCATGACATATTTGATCAAGGAAGTTTATTGACCATTAAATTTTTTGCTCAACAAAACTTGAGTAAAGGAGTTATATACTTATTTCTGGAAAGATTGCTAGCATTATCCCCATAGAAACAAAAGAAGGTTTTATTTATTAAAAAATTGAGATAACGAAAATTATTCACGATCAAAAGTCTATTAAACATTAAACACAATTGGAGCATAGCAAACACAGACCTCCAAAACACCAGCGCTGGGATAAGTTATCATGGAGGAGTCCCTTGCCGACCGGTCACACTTTCCGTGCGCTCCTTATCATGATCGGGAAGGATAGAAAATCTGTCTACAATTCAGTGTATACTAGTATATAGTGCCCTAACAATGAGTATGATCCGTTTGTCAAATTGATTAATTGATTATATATTGTTTAAAGTCCCTCTCGAGAATTTTTCACTCATATGAAGACGCTACCACTTGCCGATGGAGAGCTGCAAATTTTGTCCTATACTCGGCACTCAAGGCCATTGAGCAGGGAAGGATCTTTTTCGTGCCAACACCTACTGCGACCCGGGGCCTCGGTTTATACGGTCTCATCCGAAGGACCGGTCTCCGCGTCCCACAGTGGGATTCGAACCCGCGACGTAAGGATTAACTCCTTACTTCGCGACTCTAGAGCAGACGCGCAACGCTGGCGACTATTTGAAGAAAGATTCATAAAACAGTTGTCCTTTGACAGATATCAGGAAAAATCTTACTCAGAAACTAATCTAACTAGTGTCAAAGGTTATTATTTATTGATTAAATACTGTTATAGTTTTCAAAAGGAAAAAGAGGGAAATATCATGTGAACGTTTGATCTGAAAATTATTGCTTGTCTATGACGGGCACTTATTGATGTAGCATATGGTATTGACAAAAGCCAAGAAAGGGGTATGATTATAAAGCACAGCTGTTGAACTTTTGAGTTGAGGTCTGAAGACGGACCCCTGAAAATATAACTGGTAGAATGCTTTCAGATGCAATGGAGGAGTAACCATCCCCTATCAACAGACTAAACCCTCCAACGTGAGCCTTTTACCTAGGTCGGGCAAACAAAGGTATTTGAAGGCAATACAGTTTGGAAAAGATGGATCGTCAGTATGCTTTCAAAATGTCAATAGTTTTACTAACACTTGTTTATACATGTATTATACAAGGTCATTGTATCGAACTTAGATTTTGAGAAATGCTGGCTTTAAAGAAGACTGTTGATATCTTGTATTATCAACGTATTTGTCAGAGGCCTGTCTTAAAAATTATTTTCAAACGAAGAGCATGATTTGCCTACTTAATCATGTATAATGACATTTATTAGCGAAACATTACACGTATATTCAAACATAGTTTTTGCACCTTCCATTATCAAAAGTTATTAGGTCTATTGTTTGAACATACAATGTATATTGTCTAAGTGTAAAAATACGAATGTAAGTTGAATCCTGAAGATTTATGACTACTTCTAAATAATTTTAAAAAAACATATTAATGTACAACAAATGTTAAAAGACATAAGCCAACATAAATTTTCTCTCCATTTGCCTGAGTAATGTATCTCCAATCCTGTTTTTTTAAAATATCGATAGCACTTTTTTTTGCACTGACGAAGCCCCATTTCAATGCCTTCCCTCTTTTTATCCATATCTCCTCCTCGATCTCAGGATGACTAATGCTGCTTCTTTAATCCTTGACTCTTTCAATTTTATCTAACCAATACTTTCTGATTTTGGTTTTATTGATACCTCTGGTACTGATCCTGTTGGCCCTGCTCCTACTCCAGCTGAACTTGATGCACTTGCTCCTCCTGAACTTGATGTTGTTAATCCAGAACTTCCTACACCTGATCCTGTTGGTCCAAACCCTCCTGATCCTCCAGGCCCTGATCCTGTTGGTCCTGACCCTCCTGATCCTGTTGGTCCTGACCCTCCTGTTCCTGTTGGTCCTGACCCTCCTGATCCTGTTGGTCCTAACCCTCCAGTTCCTGATCCTGTTGGTCCTGATCCTCCTGATCCTGTTGGTCCTGACCTTTCTGATCCTGTTGGTCCTGACCCTCCTGTTCCTGTTGGTCCTGATCCTCCTGTTCCTGTTGGTCCTGATCCTCCAGGTCCTGATCCTGTTGGTACTGATCCTCCCTTTCTTGTTGGCCCTGACCCTCCTGATCCTGTTGGTCCTGACCCTCCAGGCCCTGATCCTGTTGATCCGGATCCTCCAGGTTCTGATCCAGATGGCCCTGCTCCGCCTCTTAGGAATCCTCTGGCCCCTGGTCCTACTGCACCAAAGTCTCCTACTCCTTGTCCCCCTGTCTCTGGTGCTTGCACAGTAGGTCCTTCGTTGTGACTAGAACTTGCACCTTCTCGAGTCAATGCGATGAATGCCACAAAAGATATAACGTTTACAACTATAATAAAGATCAAAAATAATTTTTCAAGATTCTTTTCGTTCATAATTTTCCAGTATTTATGTTTTAGTGGTTGTTTTGTACAATTTTCTGTGTCCAGAAAGGGTTTGACTTTATTGGAAGAATCCTGAGAAACATCATTCAATCGGAAATAGCGATGTATCACGACGACTTGAAATATGACTGTTAATCCACTGAGAGTAAGTTGTGTGTCCAGATAGATGATGAAGTATGGTGTTGTGTCCGTAGTTGGAAAGGAATCGTTGATGATAGAGAGTAAAACGGCATAAGTCAAGAAGATTGCCATAGAAGTTCCCATTTTCTCTCCAGATGCTATCGGTAGCATAAAACAGAATATATTTATGATTGATAGAAGGATGAGTGGAATTATAATAGAAACAATAGCTTGAGCCGACTTCCTTTTGAGACGTAATATAAAGTGGAGTTGTTGCATCAAGCCATACTGTCCTGACGGTATTTCAATTTCAGCTATATTAGATCCCAGGACTTCCCATTCCTCATTATTATTGAAGGAGATCAAGTGGAAAAAAGAATCGGTCTTATTTAAGGTGATTAATTCCAACAATTGATATAACCTACCAATGAAAATCATACACTTTTGTTCGTCAAAAGGATATTTTGTTATGTCCAATTGGCAAAGAGTCAAACTTTCACGATACGTCGTGTAAGTAACAATTCCAGAATTCCTGACTATAACATCAGATACTTCGCTAAAGCATTTGTTTATGCTCACTTCATTGATGATGCATATAGATTTGGGGGTCCAGACGTATTCTGATGTGGTTCCAAATGAGGTAATCCCATTATAATGAGAAGAGTCCCACATGAGACGTTCATCGAGCCAGCTCAGTGAGATTGCGATAGAGTTAGCAATCGTCTGCTTCTTCTCATTCACCTCTCTTATCGTCATAAGACTAAGGAAAATGGACAGATCTAGAGGGTTTTCTTCAGTTTCATAAGGCGCCACTCTTGCTTCATGGCGATCTAGAACATCCTTGAACAACTGAGACCTGTTGGAACACTCACAAAGTGTCCAACAAAGAGCAACACAAACCAACAGCACCGCCATTAGGATCCCGAAAGCTACATGTACTTGAAACAAAGATTCTATACTCTATCACATGATTTAAATCTGATCTACTTTTATAATTAACAATTTATCTAAGGCAGTCATCAATTATTTATACTTTGGTACATTTATGAATTGTAATACAATCAGAATTTGACATACATTTGGTCAGTCTTTGTGGTACCTATATAAACATTATCGTTATAATTAATTTCGGTATAATCGATGAATCAAGGCTTGCAATAAAACATTGTTATTTTCATTTTGATATTCAGTGGTGATCTGTTTTCTTCTGATAAGCAGCCATCATTTCCTGGGGATATATTTATTGATGAATAAAGACTAATATTGAAAATGTAAAATCAATTATGGTCAATATCGTACTTAAATGAAATGATAACCACAACTCTGAACATAATGGAATATGTTCATGTTAACATTTCTAAGTGCATATAATAGATGAGTTCAAGACAATGAAAGTAAATATTCTTTATCCATCAAACTGTTTGGGTCTCGCGAAAGTTGTTGTTTTATTACTTTATTATACTTCGCGTTTCTGGAGAGAAACATTTTTAATAATTTTTAATAAATGGCAAAATTTTTTATATACTTAAAACAAGTTAGTCCTGTGTCGGATAATACTAGTAGCAATTTAGTGTCGTTATTATCTTGAAAGGTAAGAATCATGATCGATTAAATAAAATATTTTTGATTCGCGATACTTTGGGAATGTTATATACAATTTTGTTCAGCAATTTCCCGAACTACTATCTTACCATATCATAGTATTTTAACTTCCAAAATCAAACAATATACAATACAAATAGATTAATGATATTTTGTTTAGTATTATCCTTGAAGATTTATTTATTTAAAAATGCTGTTCATAGAACAGGTCAATTCTTAACTTTACAGTATCAATAAAGTAAAAGATCAACATGCTTTATTTAATGCTTTAGTCCCATTTCCTGGCCGGTGGCCATAGATCGGTGGTAATCGGCGGTAATCCGTGGTGTGAGCGATGCCCCAACATCGGTCCACATCGGTCTAATAGTCCTTAAAGTATCCGTCACATTATCCAGCGATGGGGTATACGATGGGCAACGAATGCGTTTTTTTTTCTCATAAAAATGCATGGTTGCCGACCGGACTTAAAAAGGCCCAGCGTTGCATTGCTAATCATAAAACGTTTTTTTTTTAAAACGTGTTTTAGGGTAATCGTCCGATGAATATTGCATCGCTCTTATATTGGTTAACATCGTTCGTACTTCGGTCGACTACGTGCCAATGTTTGGATGAACATTTACTGTTGATCGGCAGATGTCTGTTGCCCACCACTCAACCCCTGGATGACATCAGATTCAACATACACTTGGCGATGCTCGACCATACATCGGCCAATCCTTGAAAGATGTGTTAATGATGGGTTGCCGAAGAGGAGCGATGTGGAAATCGGTGGAAACATCGCGGATTTTTAACTAAAGCTTATTTTCTACCGATGACCCCAAAATTCGCCGAATGGCCTTAGTCACCATCCGATTACTATAGGTGTCAGGCCGGCAACCACACCATTTTTATCAAAAACGCATCGTTTTTTCATCGTGTACCCCATCGTTGGATAATGTGACTGATACTTAAGCAAGAAATGAACACGTATAAAACCTCTGTCAGATTTCCCGGCCGGTGGCCTTAGACCGGTGGTACTAGTAATCAGTGATAATCCGTGGTGTGAGTGATGGCGAATCGGTGGGGATCATCGGTAGAAAATAAGCTGAAGTTAAAAATAAGCGATGTCTCCACCGATGCCCCACATCGCTTTTCTTTGGCAACCCATCAATAGTACATATTTCATGGATTGACCGACGTATTGCCGAGCATCGTCAAGTGTCCGTTGAAACTGAGATTATCGCGGGGATAGAGTGGTGGGCAACGGACATCGGCCGATCATCGGTTGATGTTGACCAAACATTGGCCCATAGTCGACCGACGTACGAACGATGTTCACCGATGTATGAGCGATGTAATATACATCGGCAAATTACCCTGAAACTTTGATTGTTTTATAATTAGCAATGCATCGCTGGGCCTTAATTTGTAAGTCCGGCTGGCAACCACGCCATTCTTATCACAAAATGCATTGGTTGCCCATCGTATACCCCATCGTTGGATAATATGACTGAAACTTTATGGACTACTAGACCGATCATTGGGCATCGCTCACACCAAGGATTAACTCCGATCACTAACGGTCTACGGCCCCCGACCGGGAAATGTGACTAAGGCATTATCCTGCGTGGCACCAATTACCAGACGGACATATGGGATAGTTTTCACCAATCATCCAACTATGCTCGGCCGGTAACGTTCATACATTGGTGAACGTCAGCCGCTCATCGGTCGGCTGTGGGCCAGTATTTGGTCGAACATAGACTGATGGTCGGACGGTGTCTATTCCTACCACTCACTCCAGATGACCTCAAATTCAACTGACCCTGGAAGATCCTCGTCAAAACAATGGCTGACTCTTGAAAGATGTATTATGATTGGTTGCTGATTTGAAGCGATGTAGGCATCGGTGGAGACATCGCTGATTTTTACTACAACTTACTAGTATTTTCTCCCGATGACCCCCACCGATTCGCCCGATGGTTTCAGTCACCGTCCGATTAAAATGGGTGTCCGACCGGCAACAAGGCCATTGGTATCGTATTGCATATCGTATACGCCATCGCTGGATAATGTGACTGATGGTTTAGACAAGCAAAAAGTATTGAATATGCAGATATTTCAAGGTATGTTTTTTCAATTGAGGAAATTGATAAATTTCATTCCTTTTTCTACTCTATACATGCATGTATATTCCAATTAATTCGGAAAGATGGATATCAGGCATGGAGTTTACCATGCACTCAATTGTTTATTTGCATGCCCACTTTAAAAAGATACAATAGATAAGGCATATATTGCAAACAATTGTTACATCTTTAAAAATTGTGTCCTTATATAATTCTATATTCAGTCTAACTTTTCCAGTGTTTTACTGAGCGGGCATATTAAAATTCGATGTTGACCGCAGAATGAGAAGTTGGTGTTGGGCCATTTACGTCCCAGGGTGGGCGGGGTCGGTTTTTATTATACCCCCCGCTTGAAAAGCGGGAGGGTGTATAGTAATCGGTATTTCCGTCCGTCTGTACGTCCGTCCGTCCGTCCAACCGTCTGTCCGTCCGTCCTTCCGTCTGTCCGTCCGTCCGTCTGTTACGCTTTTGGGTACCCATCTCTTATCCGCAACTCCTCTCATACCACTGAAGGAAATTTAATGAAACTTTCACAGAATCTTTATTACATATTGCCATTGTGCACCTCCTATTTTACTCTTTGATCTGACATATATTTTGGATTTTCTAGAGCAAAACATGGATACTGCCAATATATTCATATGGGAGGCGGGGGGTATCATTTAGTGAGCTCATTGCTCACAGTACCTCTAGTTTGACATTGTTGGCGTTTTACAGTACTGCTGCGCGGGTAAAAGAAATTTAACTCAGTCATGATACGTCAAAATAAAAAGTAAAAGATATCTAACAAAACATTTATTGGCTGTGTTTTCGAACACAATTGTGTTTTTTCGATCCCTCAAACAAGATGTTTGCCTGAGGCGGTCCAACAAAACGCATGGTGCCATCGAACTCCGTCAATAGGTGTATAATTTTTAACTACATGTTTGATTAACTGATTGACTTAGCAACTGCCTATTTTCTAAGTACGTATAATACTTCCTTAGCACGTTTGTTCTAGGTAACGACTAAGTCCAATGAGGTGGTATAAGTGCACTAATTTTGCATACATTTTTTTTCCGATGAAGTTCGAGGTTTCAATTCCGGCATTTTTTTTTATGATTAACCACAATTTTGACTTAAAAGGAAAATAGAACTCTCTTTCAATGTATTTTCCTTGATGTAATAACTTCTATATGCAAGAAACGACACCCCTCCCCTTCATGAGAAGGAGCACACGGGGATATGAACTGTCGGCAGCGAATGCTCACTCCTCCATGGCATCTGATCCCACCTCTGATGTTTTAGAGGTTCGTGTTTTCTCTGTTCCTTATTATGTACTGTTTGATAAACTTTTGATCTTGAAAACTGTTTGTATCTCCATATGTTTCATTCTATATCTCCATAACCTACAAGCAGTCAAGGGCAAAAAAGGTTATTTCATTTCCATATTATGATGAGTTTTCATCAGTTTGTTTTTCACACACACTTATAAACGCACCCTCTCTTACAAAGATAAGGAATCAGAAGTTCATCATCAAGAATCATCACGCCTCCTCCGAACGACATACAATCTTACGATGTGGAACAACTGCATCGTTTGAAAAGGCGACAAAATGCCTTCCATGAATTACTATTGAAATAGCTGTATATAACTGGGTTTATAATATGATTTAAAAGTGAAAAACGGGCACAGAACATCCATCCAAAATACTCCCAAACCGACAAATCAAAGTAATCAAAATCTGCTTTAGTATACCTCACTAATAATAGTATGAATGGAGGAAAATAAGAAATGATATAGCATAAAATAATCGTCGATATCATTACATTGTAACGTCTGATTTTGCCATTTTGCTTGAGGTCTTCTTTTGGAGCATTAGTTAATGTCTTTTGTCTTTGAACCGCATGTCCAGTGGTCATATTCGAAGAACTGGGAATTCCTTTTGCTTCTCGTACATTCTTTGAGCAAGTCACATGTACTTGGTTTGTAGTATGGAAGAAGTGATCATCATGTCTATTTGTTTCTCGGTACTGTTGAAGATGTATTTGGTTTGGTGTGACGTCACGCTCTTCTTCAAAAACAGTCTCAAAATTCATCACCCGTCTAGTGAAAAACATTCTAACCTTAGCTACAAAAAGTCCGTAAGTAACAGTTATTGCAGAAATAAGAGCAATTGTTATCAAAAAAGAGAAAGCGCATAAACTCTGCCTAAAACCGAATTC